TATCTTAGGGTAATTTATGAGTTTTTATGCAAATTTTATGTATTGGAGTATGTTTCAGGCTCCCTTTTTGTTTTAGCATGTTATGGATGCGTATGTGAGACCATAATAGGTTTTTAAACTTGTTTTGGGACATATGGCGTAACGACCCGCTCCACCACATGGTATGATATTGTCCGCTTTGGGTCTGAACCCGCACGGTTTTACTCTTGGGCTTCACCCCAAAAGGCCTCATACCAATTGGAAATGATACACTTACATATAAGCACTTCACCTTTCCTCTACCCAGGAGATGTAGGACTTGTGCACCCATAGCTCGCCAATGTGGTAGCCTGACAATGTCTCTCGCACCCGCCCACGACACACCCATCCACAGGGTCATCACAATCCACCCCCTTGGAGGCCCTACGTCCCCGTCGGCACACTTCCGGCTGGGTCAGGCTCTGATACCATTTGTAACGACCCACTCCACCACATGGTATGATATTGTCCGCTTTGGGCCTGACCCTGCACGGATTTGCTCTTGGGCTTTACCCCAAAAGGCCTCATACCAATTGGAGATAGTACCACCACATATAAGCACTTCACCTTTCCTCTACCCAAGCGATGTGGGACTGTGCACCCGTAGCTCGCCAGTGTGGAAGCCTGACAGTGTCTCTCGCACCCGCCTACAGCACACCCGCCCACAAGGTCATCACAATCCACCCCCCTTGGAGGCCCGACGTCCCCATCGGCACACTTTCGGCTGATAATGTTGCATGAATAGCATTAGGATTGGACTGAGCACCTTCCTTATGCTTTGCAATAGCAGTTTTGCTGCTATCTGGTGCATCGGCCGGCTGACAACTTCTGTCAGCCGGTTGATAGCCTTTCGTAATCAATTCCAGTGTGTTTGGAACTTTAGCAGGGCATTTTAGCTGGCTGATCCTTGCCTTCATTCGGCTGATAATACAGTTTCGGCAGGCTTATCCTTGCCGTCAGCCTGCTGATCCTCCCTGAAGCTTTCCCTTTTCAGTTTTTCTTGGACAGCTTTATTGCACCAACTTAAGAGGGTCATCTCTTACTTGTTTTTAATCCAAATTAGCTCATTCTTGAGTCTAACTTCAAGACCTTGAAGTTAGCTTTCCAATGGTACCAGTCGTACGTAAAAATTCTAACCGTAGTGAGAGATATGACCATTTTAGTGAGATGGGATCGTGGTATCTCTTAATCGAATGATGCCACCGTGTTCTATCTTCATATCTTTTTCGTCCGGACTCCGAATTAGGTGATTCTTGAGTCTAACTTCATTAATTTTTTTTTTTTTTTTTTTTGTCTTTCTAATGGTATGCTTGGTAGCATCCATTTTTATTTGAAATGACCATTTTACCCTTGGATCATTTCTTATCGGGTTTGAAATCCTTGCTTTAGTACTTGACTCATTTAAGTTACGTGGCTTTATAGGGAGTCATTTTGGTGCCTTAGGATTGACGTACATCTCTAGAGGCCATTTTACTACTTTCGTTTTCGTATTTCAGATCCGTTATCAAGTCATCTTTAGGTCATCACTAACGTACCGGGTTTATAAAACTTGGGCTATCACAGTGGCGCTTATGAGGAGTAGTAATTTTTAAGGGGATATATGGGACATGCATTGTCCCGCTGAAAAGTTACTAACTTGCCCTTTTAAGTTTTGAATATTTAAGTTTGAAAATTTAAACTCAAAGGACATATATGGAAAGATGTGAAATATATTGTTTGAAACAAGAAAGTGGACTATTATTTTTGGGATAGACAAAAAAAGAAAACATGGCACTTATTTTGGGATAGTGGGAGTAGTTGATTCTGGTTACCAATACACAAAATGATTTCTGCCTCCATATCCTTGTCAAATATATCTTATACAAGATTATAGGAGTAACAATCGGCAATTGCGTGGTGCAAATGAATTGTTTAACTATCTGCATTCATCACTTCACAATATCATTGAACGTTGTTTTGGAGTACTAAAGGCTTGTTTTCTCATTTTAAAGCTTATGCCTTATTATAAGTCGGTTAGACAACAACTCATAATTACTGCTTATTGCACGATTCACAATTTCATTCATCAAAATATATTAGATGATCGTTTTTTTATGAAGTATGGGGAAGAATATGTTAATGTCGTTGATGGGGGGATGGTACCAGTAATAGTGCTGGTGTACTAAATGTACTTAATTTATCTGATGATGGTGCAACACAAATGGAAACCTTTAAAACTTATCTGAGGAATCAAATATGGGCATCATTCGGAGGTAATGCTAGATGAAGTTACTTTTATAATTCTTCAATGTTTTGTGTTGATTATCTATTTCTGTAATTCTCTAATGTTTTAATTTGGTTATGTATCACTAAACTTAATGTTTGTACAACTAAAAGTACTACGTATGGCATTTGAAGTAATCATGTAATTCTTTTATTATATTTAAATTTACTGAAGTTTTAATTAAAATTGATATATTGTGTTTGTGCAACTTTTATTAAGTTAAGAATACTAGTTAAAATGAATGCACCTCCAACACTTATTTAAAAAATTATAATAATTACATTAATAGTTAATATCATAAATTAAGGAAATAAAAGAGTGAGGTACAATATTTTATTTATTTTTTTAGTTCAAAAAACTATTTTCAATAAATACAACCAAGCAGTTTTATGAGTTTTTGTTTTCTGGAAACTGTTTTGTAAATTTTCTTAACCAAACAGGTTTGAAATTTGAAAAAACTGAACACTATTTTCTGTTCTGATTTTTTGAAAACTGTTCTTCAAAACTATTTTTATAAATGCAATCCAAGCATGGCCTTAATTTTCATTCTTTCCAATTTCAAATGAGCAGTACTAATATAAATTGTCATTACTGTCTTTGTGAACTCAGAGAGATATATACAATGTTTGATTTATTCGGTTTTTGATTTTTAACATTATATTACTTTTTGGTTAAATCTTTTATTTTACATTACATTCTCATTCATATAATATCATATTCTAATTTACTGTTAGTACTATTTTTTTTACATTCTATAAGATTTTCCTATAAATGTTATTTGCTTAGTGTTACGATTTGCTTTCAAGATATTGTTACCTGTCGCATAACATCATCTGATCGTTTCTAAGCCTTCTAGAAAATGCAACAATGGTTGGAGATACAATTTTGATTTTGATGCAAAATTGAATCTCCAAAAATTGTTGGATTTTTGAGAGAGCCATTTTAAGGATTGTAATTTTGGTTATAGCAGCTTCTTGAGGGAGTGTCAAGAACCTCATCCAACCTAGCATCTCCTCCCCAGAACTTGTTATGGCTCTTACAAATAGAAGAGTAACAAGTTCTGGGGAGGAGATAGCATTTTCCTAAGAAATCTCTTATTGTAACATTTTCCTAGTATAAGTAATTTTACCTAAGAAATATCTTATTGTAGCATAATAGCATTTTCCTAAGAAATATCTTTTTATTCTCGGTATAAGTAAATAAATATACTTCTCTAATATAAGTAAATTTACCAACAAATATACTGAAATGTTGCATTTTGGAATATTGAATTGATTCACTGGAATTGAATATACATTTTACTTATGGCTCTTACAAATAGAAGAGTAACAAGTTCTGGGGAGGAGATAGCATTTTCCTAAGAAATCTCTTATTGTAGCATTTTCCTAGTATAAGTAATTTTACCTTAGAAATATCTTATTGTAGTATAATAGCATTTTCTTAAGAAATATCTTATTGTTCTCAGTATAAGTAAATTAATATACTTCTCTAATATAAGTAAATTTACCAACAAATATACCGATATGTTGCATTTTGGAATATCGATTTGATTCACTGGAATTGAAATTGAAGAAAATTTCATTTAAAGTTTGAATAAAAGTTCTTTCTATTTCAATTTTAAGTTGGGCATTTGGTGAAATTCATTGTTGAATCTGTGAATTTGTGAGTTTGATTATTGAATGATGATGATGTACTGACTATGGTGGGATTGTAGAATCCACCTCAGAAATAACATGGTAACCCAAAAAAAATTGGTAAAGTTCTCACAACCATATTTTGGTAATTACCTTTTATTGTTACAGCAGGTGGTAATGGTAAAATTAAATATAGAAACTAAAAAATAGGATGAGAGTGGTTTCGTGTTAAAAGGAAAGGTTATGGGTGGGTTTGAAAAATAACCGTTAGATATATATATATATATATAGGAAAGTGATAGATGGGCTGATGAGTTAGGCAGAATACACATAGCAGTCTAGGTAAGCAACTTTAACAATTAAAAAAAAGAAAGAAAATAAAAGAAGAAACAATATACGCATCCGCAAATTCATCTTTTCCCGTGTAACACCAGAATTTTCTCGATTGATTTAAATCAAACCTATTAAATCTCAACTGGGTAAATCACTAATTTCAGACCCAATATCTCAAATAATCAATCTATAAAAATTAGAAATCAAGAATTAAATTTAATTTCAACTCTTAAAAATCCGGGTTGTCACATCCTCCACCACTTAAAAATAATTTCGTCCCAAAATTCAGATCCAAAAATTTTTGCATACCCGTAAACAACAAAAGTGGCTAGATAAAAACCAAAAACCCTTATCCCCAGGCAATGTGAAATTTAGTGACATGAAAAATTGTGATAGCTAGACAGTGCTAATTATTCGCCCACACACTCTATAACCGTTGTGGTAAAACGATGTCGTCACCCGCCCACAAAATAAAACCAATAATGATCTAGGGACACCTGCCCCTAATCACCGATAGTAATCATCCTAATAGCTGCCAGTGAACGACATCCGAACACACACACCATCTAAGAGAGGTAGCTAGTCAATACTAAACACTCGCCCACACACACTCGACAACAACATCACTAAACTCACACTCTCACACTTTCAGCTGGGTACAGGCTCTAATACCATTTTGTAACGCTCTGAATTTTCTAAGTAAAATTCTCAATTTATTTAAATCAAAATACTTCAATATTACACTCAAGATCTCAAAAGAAATAAATACACTTTATTGGTACACAATCAATTCCTCAAAAACAAATAAAATATACATCATCTCTAAATAAATTAAATAATCCTCAACGCCAACTCTTCCATCTAAGCCCGCCACTAGCAATTCACGGTACCTGAAACTGGAAGGGAGTGAGACAAAAATTCCAGTAAAAAAAACTATAACAAGAATCTCAAAGGGTTTCATGAAAATTAGCTTCACAAAATAATATATATACTTTTAAACAAAATAACATATATGCAATTTGAACTAAAAGAGCAATCACAAAATATTTTAAATAAAATCACCCAGACAATTCAAGATATAAAGAACTCTACGCTGTAAAATAATTAAATCATCATTGGACCATCAAGCTTCAGCTCCCTGGAACTCTCGGCTCACTCTGTGTCTACACTTCTCTCTCACACTAAACTTGCTCCATATTTTTCCTCTCTGTTTTGCTTGCCAAACTACCAATATATATAAAGAAATTTGCACCGACACTAAATATCACAAACAAATATCAGCGGACAAAAATCATCTAATTGCAAACCAAATATCTACTGGGTCCCGCCACCCATGCTTTACTCTTTTATCTTATCAATTTTGCTTCATTCATCTAAACCTAAAACAGGACATTACCAATCAACAACCTCAGCCACGTTAATTAGACTAAAAGAAATGAATTTTGGCAAAGGAATATCCCAGTGGGCCCGCCATCATTACCATTAAAATTCTCATTTTTTTCCTTCTCTTCAGCCGTCCATTTGCTTCCTATCTTCAATAGATGCTAAAAATATATACTAACACAACAAAAACCAAATCAACTTTCCTAACATTCAAGTGGGCCCGCCAAACAACATCATTACGAATTCATTTTCCTCCTCAATTCGGCAGACTGCTCACATGACCTCTTCATTGTCCAATTTTGCTGCACCAAACAGCCAATAGATGAAACTTATATATATATATATATATATTTAATTGAAAAATAAAATCCAATCAACCCATTAATACTCCCTCTCAAATCTCAGGGCTGGAGCTCCTTCTATCTGAGCTCACTTTAAAAAATATATTTCATATGGAACAATTTAAATCAAACCTATTAAATCTCAACGGGATAAATCACTAATTTCAGACCCAATATCTCAAATAATCAATCTATAAAAATTAGAAATCAAGAATTAAATTTAATTTTAACTCTTAAAAATTCGAGTTGTCACATCCAGACTGTCAAATTTTAGGCTAAATTCTTCTTTTTTGACAGTTATCAAATCTCTCTCTTTTCGTTTCGTCTCTTCAAACAATATTTCTTACCATCTTAACTTGAACAAAAAAAAAAAAAAAAACTTTCGATTTTTAAAGTATGGTTACAACTACATATCATATATCATATTCATATATATTATATCATATGTATAATTTTTTTTTTTTTGGAAAGTAAATATGTGTATTTATTTATTTATTTGATTATATTGTTCTTCAAAGTCTTTAAAAAAATTTCAAAAAGATATTAAAGAGAGAAATAGAAGGAGAAAAAGAAAGAAAGGAGAGAGAAGGGATGAGAGGAAAAGAGAAGGGAGTGGCTTAGTTGGACAGGCCACAGGCAATGTAATTTCTGTCAAATTAATAGGTCAAATACTTCGATTGAAATATCATTATCCATATATATATATATACACACATATTTATAAGATCAAAATTTACATGACATGGCTAATTACAATGGTGCCTCCAATCAAATCTTCTCCTCTTGATGAGTATGATTAAATGGGCAAAGCCCTTGAAGTTTTACTGTACTTGTTCACATCAAAACCCTTTTACTTGATAACGTATAAATATATATATATATAATATTCTCTCTATGCATGTATATATAGCTTAAAGAGCCAATAATTATTGAATTGTTTGAAAGTGAAAGAAAAAACAAAATAAAATCCGTCTACCATTTTGCCACTCACAAGATACTATAATTTATTCTAATTCTTATAACAAAATCCCCAAACAATCGCTTCACAGATTATGACATAAATTTTATTTAGAAATTGAATTGTTTACTGAAAGAGGAAACAAAAAGGTTCTACTTTTTTATACAAAGAGGAACTATAATTTGAATGACTGCAAATAGAAGTGTCATAATAGAAATTTGAAGATTGAGGAGAGTCATTGGGTTTCTCAGATGATACCACAGTTCTCCCTTGTAACTTCTCCACGCTCTTTTTCCAGAAGGTGATGTACAGTAATCATTCACTTTCTTGAAAATTCCGGAATAGCAGAAACTTTTAGGATTGATGGTGACACTAGAGCAGAGCTTGTTGAACATGTCCGACATTGCTTCATCACTGGCTAGCCTGTTTTCAAGGACTTTGTAGTTGCACAGTTGTTCAGCATCCTTTTCAGTATCAACCAGGCAATCCATCAAAGTGGCATAATCTGTGACATATTTTTCATGAAGATTTTGGTGATATTGCTCGTGTGCAATAAGATTTCTGAAAAGGCACTCTGTTTGAACGTCAACCATCAGTGGCGGGATTTTCATAACCCCATCTTCGAACCTTATATTAAACAGTGAGACATTATCCCCTGCTTTTTCGAAAAGTACCCCTTCTCTTTGGAGCTTTATGGTACATCCTATGAATTGCCCTTTATATCTTAGATAATATGGATCATTTTCATAGGACACCATGTCCAAAGGAGGAGTCAAACTTTGATGTACAAGGTCCAGTAGATGATCAACATTATCTGATGACAGATCGGTTCTCAAACAACTGTATGGTAAGCTTATAAAGCTTAAGGCCATGTGAACTATGTCCATCTCATCATCAGGAAGCTTGGTCATGTCGAACAGCTCAACGAGAATAAAGAATGGCAGTTGATTTTCAAATAAAAGCAGATCACGTTGTAAAATATATATCATCCTATCCATTTTGAAGATAGGGTCATCTTCGATTACTAGTTCTTTCATATTAAACTTGCGGAATAATTCAATGATAAAGCAACCATCAAGAAGCATCATTTCCACCAATTCATCTTGGTTTGGTTTGATGTCTTCTGCATAACATCTACGAACTCTTTCTTCGAGTGTTTTTAACTTCGCTCTTAACTTCCTAAGGAATATTTCCCCACTCGGCTCATTTCTTCGATTAAGAAGTTCTTGTAGGTATCGAGATTTATGTTCTTTCATCATTATTAAATTCTCTTTGCCATGGTGGTAAGGTCCAATGGCCAGCATTACTGGCTCGTATGCCTTCTCATTTACTCTGCGTAGTAGATCATCGACTTTAAAGATGCGTGACTTCAAGGATGTACGAAATGAAGGAAAAAGTTCAATATTGTCAATCGGAATTGAGATATTATTGAACTTTTGTTCAGACATCTTTTATCTCCAAAAACTAGTAGAACTTGCTGCACCAAAGAAATTACCATTTATTCTACTAGAAAGTACAGTTCATATGCCCAAAATCAGTACAAATTATGCCATAGTTACCATAGGGTTGTAGTTTAGTGGTATTAATTTTCTAGTATCCCAAAGTGAAAAGAGTGAGAATTGAGTTTTTTCTTGTAGAAGGCAAAACTGCGCCATGGTTAAACAATTAAAAAATTTCACCAAACGGTAGTTTAGGCTTTTAGCTTCTTTTGGGATGGAAGATGTCAAAAATAATTTTAGGGTTAAATAAATTAATCTTTCCTTATATTTGTGCAAATTACACTCGTGACACCTTTGCAAGATATGACGAAAACTGTTCCGAGGTTTGGTCACTTGTAACAAATACCCCTTGGTCCAAAAAGAACTGTTAATTTAATAAAATAAAATAAATTAAAAAATTGCATGATCTTTCCAAAATGCCCTTTGACCTATTGGAAAAGACCTTATTACCTTTATAATGCCATTTAAAAAAAAAAATTATTATAACTTTCATGGACAAGCCTACCCTTTCCTCTCCACCAGTATTGTCATCACTCCTCTCTTTCTTTCCATTTTGAAATATCCTGCTGTTGTGATTTCAATTGAAAAATGTGGGTGAAATCGCGCATGAAGTTTGATGGAAAGAAATTCATCCAACAAGATATCTCAAAACATCGACACAGCTTCGGGTACGACACCACCGCGGACTCTGGTTTTGAGTGAGGCTGTAGGGTTTCGGTCTGAACGATGTTCCAGTGAAATTTCTGAGTTGAATGACCTTCCGATTCAATCATATAATTCTATAATCTGAAGGTGGGATGCGATTTTGGGGGACGAGAGAGAGAGAGAGATTGATTGGGGAGGAGGTGTGAAAATTGATGGTACGTAGTGTACGGATGAGAATGTGTTCGTTGACGTTGATGATGACCGGAACTCCCGGTAACCATAGCAGTGGGTGGTGTTCTGGTCAATCTCTCACTGGGTCTCAGGGACAAGTGTTCTGGTTAAAAATGAAATCCTTTTATCTAGTGATACATAACTCCTACTTCCAAAAGCTCAAGCTCAATCACAATTAACACTCATCGATTATTGTTTTTACTAGTAAAAGTAATTGTTATTATTGTCATTCTATCTGTACACTTCATATATACAGGCAACTAGTTAGATTGTGTGTGCGTGTGAGAGAGAGAATGCACTTAAAAAAATGGAGCAACTTACTTGTTAAAAGCTTCAATTCTGGATCATCAGCTAGTTGTATCTTCTAAACCAGATGCCTTTTGATTTCCTCTCTATGATTGAATTAGAAAATAGAGGAGGCGTAGTAGTACCAGTCTATTCAGTCGTTTTGGAAGGAAGTGGGTGTGTGAGTTGGAATTCCATTGTCTCGCAGAAAAGTCAGTTTTGGCGGCCCGTTTCAATAGTACCTAGAAATAATTTGCTTGTACAGAGGTCATTTGCTGTCTTGACTCGTGAAAGGATGAGTCAACGACCATGTAAATAGATATCTAACACCCCATTCGCGTCGATTGAAGACTTCAATCTCAGTTTTTTATTTAGATAAATAAAAAACAAAAAGATGATATCACTAGGTTGAGGACTAGTTTGCATAGTTTTTGCTTTTGTTTACGCCCAAAAAATTAAAAATAAATAGATAAAGATGATTGTTTTTAGGACACGGTTGGAATTGTTTTTTCCCACGTCAAATATGGAGCGGCATACTTGGAATTTCAAAATTTTCATTAAACCAGTAAAACAACTTTCCATGTTTTTAAAAAACACTATTTTAAGAGTCAAAACTCTTTTTAAAAACATAAAACAAATTAGTTAAATACTATTCAAAACAATTTTCAACTCCCAAAAAATAAATAAATAAATAAATAAAAATAAAAATAAAAAAACCAATGTTCGGAGAGCTCATCCAAACAAGCTGTATGCCTTTGGTATAAGAAAAACAGTAATGATACTCTATCCGATCAAATTAGCCGATTACTAGTCCGAATGTCATGTGGCTGTCCACCTCATCACTTCGTGGAAAATTTCTTTGTGTAGAAGGAAGAGAACATGAAAAGTTCATTATGAAGTAGATGCGCTTTCTCTTTATCTATGTCAATGGGGTTACTTTGTACGATACTCATTCCTTCAATCTTTTTACATGTTCTATCTTCTTTTTTTTCTCCAACCCTCTTCTGTCTCTCTCCACTAGACCCATCATCACCTCCTCACTGAGTACGGCCTCCCAAAGGATCTCCTCCCAAATGCTGTGAAGTCCTACCCTCTCCTCTAATGCCATGTTAATCATCCAACTTCCTATTACGTTCAATTTGATGAGCTTGTTTGCTATAACAAGATAATCAAAGGAAAGCTCAGTTATGGGTTGGTTCAGATGTTTCGGCTATTTAAGCCAAGAAGTTATTCTTATGGGTGTCTTTGACTGGAATCAATGTTGATTTCAAATTAGGGGTAGTTCTTGTGTGTGTCCTTAACTGGAATCAGTGTCGATCTCAAATTAGGGATGATTGAGTTTCCATTGAGGCTTTATGGGAGAAGTTGTCGACAAATCGAGCTGTTTGAGAGTAACTATTTGCAAGAACAAGGATGTCACGAGTAACACCCAGAATAAATTTAAGAATGCGGCTGCTGCAAATGGTGGTAACATCTTCAACAGTGTGAACGATCATGCTGTGACACATAAATGGCATTGCCAAACTATGTGTTCAGGCTACAGGCCACCCAGTTGAGATTGTGCATTGTGATCCCAAAGTTGTTGCCACTGGTTGTGTAATAAGTCAATGCCACATAACTGATGCTTGAACTTCCCTTTCACCCATTTTATGTAATATAAATGTGATGCAATTTTGTGATTCAGTCTCATGTATTTGCTGGATATATCAATTTTGATTATTTAGAGTAGTACAATGAAATGGTAGTATTGGTTTTGAAGTGTATGAAAATATATCATTTATCTACACCTCAAGGATTAGAAAGTAAAAAAGTTCATATATTATTGTTTCGCAAAGCCAGATTTGTGCTGGTAAAATTTGTGTAATTGTACAGTTGACCTTGCATCAATTCTCTATTTGAGGTAGAACATCTTCTTCAACTGTTCATTTGAAAATGATGCCAAATTTCTGAAGTCCTCTTATCTACATGCAGAGATTCAGTTAATGTCATGGCTCTGAACAGAACACCAAGAAAGTTGCTGAAAATTTCCAGTACCCCACCTTCCATGTAGGAGCCTTGGCTCCTACCTGTAGGCTTCTAATTCTCTTAATTTTTCTACCATGCTCTTTTCTTGAACGCCATCCTCCCCAATTTATAGTAAAATAAAAATAAAAATAGTCAACACCAACGTTGAGAAGGTGCAAGAAAATAAATTCCATTGCCATTTAAAACACTAACAATTAATCATGACCTGGCCAATACATGCACCTACTACAGTTGAAACTTCAAAAAATGCTATAATCTTGTGACTATGGGTAGTATATGGCTAATGTATCTTTATTCTGCATAAATTCACACTCCAAAATCAATGTTGATTCAATTGCATGTCATATGCCAAATACTATATCATAATTGGAGAAGGGCATATGTTTTTAATGAACAGATAAAAGAAATTAAGGAAAAGTATAAAAAAGAGACACATAAATAGCTCCATAAATAAGCTTTCAGCTCACGAATTCAAAACAAAATATCATTTATAGTTTATGTCTCAAAAGTTTCGAAGGACTTAAGATCACGAAAGTACATTAGTCACCACAATCATGTCCGATCAAGAATTCAAACAAACATAATCTTAGTTATATTATAAGTGTCTCATAAGATTTAAATAACTAACTTAATATTAAGAAAGTAAATCTGTCACCACAAACTACAAAAGAAAAAAGGAAGGGAAAAAACAAAGAAGAAGAAAAAACAGCAAAAATGAAGAAAGAAACAGCAGCTGGTGGAGTATCTCATGCCAGAGACGGAGCAAAAAATAAAATAAAATTCACGGGGGCAGTGTACACTAAATACATATTTACATAATAATGTATATACATATAAATAAGTGTTTATGGAGTATGTATATAACATTAAATTTTCAAATGTGTAAGAACCTGCAAAGCATTAAAAATAAAGTACATTTAGATAAAATAAAATCATTTGATAACTACTTACATCTCATAAAATTATACCATAAATACTAAATCTTAGGCTCCAAATTGTTTTCACTTGTAAAAGAACAATCATAAGCTGAAGTGGTGAAGCCGAATCTTTCAAGATGCTGTAAAGCATAATGCGTTGTATACAAAATTTTCAAAATTGTGGCATAAAAAGGCAAACAAAATAATTAACAAGTGAAAGTATAAACCTGTAGAAGTTGATCCGAGCTAAGATTGTGCACGAGTGAATTACTCGTAAACATGTTGTTGAGAATTTTGAAGATTTTAAAGCTCCTTTTGGGTTTGAATAGTTTTTAATAATCATTATTTATTGTATTTCTTTGTTTGAAATTTTGATGTTACTTATATGGAATTAATTTACAATTATTTACAGCAACCGTTTGGTTTGTTGGGGAGGCCTATATATAAGGCAAGGAGATGCACACTCCTAGAATACGATCAAACCTAACTCTTCTACCATATATTTGCTTATTACCTTTTGTGATATCTCTACAATATATATTTCTCTGTTTACTTTTCATATATTATACCATTTCAGGCAATTCGACATTAGAGACTTGGTTCACACCATCTTCCTTCGGACGTGCCTGAATACTTGTAAACTAAGTCTTTACTATTCTTTGTTTACGACTCTTTTCTAACTCACTTATAAATAGATGTGGGTATTTGTAAACATGATTAAGAAAGTTCATAATAAAAAGTGATATAGCCCTTTTGGCTTTGTCTGACGTGGATGTAAGCCCTAGTGGCTAAACCACGTTGTATTCACGTATTGTTCTATCTTATTTCTCTCTTCAATTTTTTATATATTTTAACATGGTATCAGAGCAGGTTTATTGTACCTTATTCTAGATCATTCTTCCGCACAATTCATCTTGATTGATTTTCTCTCCATTATCAAATTGTTAGGCAAAATTTGTTGATTTTTTGCCATCATTTTGCATCATTTCGTGTATTTCTTCTTCATGTCAACTGAATAGTGATATCTTCAAAGGAGTCTCTTCATGACCATATCATCAAAGGGAGCCTCTATACCAAATATCATCACATATTTTCATCTTGTTATTGCTGTAGAGTTATTTTTTGTATGCTTAAATGCATATTGTTGGCTATATACCGAATTTCTGATGAAGTGCTCAGAATCATGTTCTTTACTCTTGCAGACCTTATGTTCACTTGCATATATCTTCACCAAATCATTGGAAAAAGATCTATTTCATGATTTTGATATGCAAGCTCGACGTTATTTTCATACACATTCCACCTTGAGGACACGACCATGGATTACGATCTTGATCCGATCCACAACGAACGGCGGTCATGAACGGCCTGAGACAGCAACATACCGGTCACGAACGGCCTGAGATAACGAACGGCTGGCACAACACTCCTCGAACCCAGTTCCACGGCCACAGCCCGATCTTGATTCGACCCACAGTGAACGGCGAGCACGACAGTCCGAGCTCTACAACGCCGCCTTTGTGGTGATGGTGACTAGTGAACGTTGTTGTGGAACATCGTGAAGTTATAGAGGGTCGCCGCCATTTTGAGCTCGCCACATTGCGATAGTCGTCTCTCATGTTCTCTGTTATATATACATGTATATATATATATATTTACACACATATATATATACCTCTATGTGTGCAAATATATGTGTGATGTATATGATGGGTCTGTGCACAAATATGCATCTGATGTATATGATGGATGTGTCTGCAATATGTATGTGATGGAAGGAAGAGAGAAGAGGTGGCGGCAGTATGGTAATTTTGTTTCAAACAGTGAAAGGTTATTTTGGGCAACAAGTTAAAGTGAACAGTGCGTCATTAATTTAGTCAACTATATTTTTTTGAAACTATGGTACTTTGACTACATAATAATATAAAGGGTTAAATGCAAAATACTCCCCTGGACTATTAGAGTTTTGCAACTAACCCCCCTGAACTACAAAAAAAAAAAAAAAAAAAAAAAAAAAAAAAAAAAAACCTCCTGAACTATGATTTTGTTGCAATTTACCCCACTCAGGTACAGAAAAAAGTAAAAGACCTTGCTACCCTTATAATAAAACATGGCAGAGTTTTAAACTATATACAATTATGTTGCTGACTTGGAATGTAAAATCTCAAGGACCAATAAATTTCATTGTTTCAAGTTGACCTGTTTTAGAGACAGAAAGAGAAGCGAAAAAGGGTGTAGGGTAATAGGGAGGAAGGTGAAAAAGTGCTTGAAACATCTGGATTTCTTATTCGGTTGGGTATAGAGGTTTATCTGGATTGAAAACGGAGGAACTGCA